TATTCCATTGATGGATGAGGATGACAATAGATATACCAACCATTTGATGCTGTTTTTTGCTGGTTACTTTAGCTACATCAATGAAAAGGCATATTATATTTTAATACCATCCTGAACCTTCTGATCCTCTCCAACACTAACAATTTTCTTTTCACTCAGAATCCCATGACTCCCCTCTCCATGACTCAGAATCCCATCTAAGCCCCATGATTTAGCCTCTCAATTAACTGTCATTTACTGTTGTATCCCAGCTTTAATTCTGCGTTCTATGTACATGCCTATATTCCCTCTTCATCTTTGATTCACCATTCTTCTCTGTTGTTATACATTATCCATCTTAGATTAGAAGTGCCAGAAAGTCTATCTCTCTTCTCTGTTCAACTTTGGGCCAGGCTTCCAAATATAGGAGATATAAATAAATAATGTTAAAGGCAGAACACTGGGGAGATTCTCAGTCATCCAGGTCATAGCTGTCTCAAAAGTGTTTTTTTTTTTTTCAAAAGGCAACTGGACTGTTTTTTCCTTGAGGAAGAAGAACAAAACATCCAAGATCTTTCATCAGTTGAGATGGTGGGGAATGGAAGGATAGGTTCTGATGGGAGGGGGATGCAAGGATTTCTCTGCAGTCATCTGGTCCATTAAGTGTTTTTTTCTGGTGGGAGCAGTCTATCAGGGCAACCTGGTCTACCCAATTATGGGATGGAGCATACTGCTTCTGTTTTCATCTTTCAGCCCCAATCAGAATCCCAGAAGGGTATGGCTAGCTGTTGAGAACTAAATAGTTTGAAATAGATCTATACTAGTCTCCCTTTATTTCTTTCTCAGTAAAACATAAATTTAACATCTGGTCTGTTAGCACTCTCTGTGAGAGCTGTTGAGGCTATTTGGGGGTTTATCTTTGCCCTCAGGATGCAATTGGTTGTGGAATCTTTTTGGCAATGCCTTTAGAGCTGTGTTAAAGACAGAAGATAAGTAAATAACAACAATTCTACTGTAACATGAAGTAATTCAAGGATTTGGCTCTGACATGCAGATGTATGAAGGATTTTACAAGTAAAGCGAATCCCAAAAATGTGTATAAGAATTTTTCAGAGACTTTAATTCACATCAAGAATGGAGACAAACAATTGATCAAAATGTCCCTGGGTAGCTCTTAAGGTGCTCAAAAAGTCTTTTTAACAAACAACAACAAACCTCTCTTTCCCTCCCTCCCTCCCTCTCTCTTCCTCCCTCCCTCCCTCCCTCCCTCTCCCCCCTCTCTCAGTTGATTTTTAATTTCAGACTTGATAAACTTTCTGATTGATGAAAGCAATATTCTTGGTTTGTCATTAGTCATTTGATACTCAGAGGCTGAAGGAAGAATAAGCTTTAGATAAAATTATTTTAAGTGTCTGTGAATGAGTGGTGGGGTGAAACCTCTTAAGGGCTGTTGTTCTGGGAAAATAGGAGGAGGAAATATTGTGTATGTTTGCTGCCTTGAGTAATAAAGGTGGGATTTTAAAAAAATCTAAAAACGTTTTTTTAAAAATCTGCTTCATTAACTATCTATTACCAGTCATCTCAGTTTTTGACAAGGAATCTCTTAGCATTTTCTTTACTACAAGGAAAAGATAAACCTGAAATATCCTCCGCCAAACCTTGTCTTCTTCTTCTTCTTCTTCTTCTTCTTCTTCTTCTTCTTCTTCTTCCTTTCTTCTTCTTCTTCTTCTTCTTCTTCTTCTTCTTCTTCTTCTTCTTCCTCTTCCTCTTCCTCTTCCTCTTCCTCTTCCTCTTCTTCCATATCCATCATCGGACATTGGTGATTATGTTGGCAATCCTATTTTTGTCAACAGAGGTATGAAAAAGTGCTGCTGTGTTATGTCCATACTAGTCCCTGAGGTTTTGAAGCCATGATGTTCTTCTTCTGCCTGAACCTCGTTTGCCTTCAATCTTTCCCTGGAGGATTAAGTGAAGGATGCCGTATTTTTCTGGGTGTCGTATCACATGTCCAAAATATTCTAACTTTTGCTTTTTAATGGCTTTGATTATTTTCCTTTGCTTGTACATTATAAAAATTAGTGAAATCTTTATCTAATAGTCTAGAAGTAGATTTAAAATTAACAGTTGCATTAATTACTGTCTCCAATATTTATATACAGTATTTGTAAATAAAAAACAAGATAATTGGCACATTGATACGTTTCAAATATTCTGGAACTATATACCATATACTGGCTGGCTGGCTGGAGACAGACAGACACATTCAACATACCACACATACACATTAACTGATTCTTTTTCTCAAACTGTTCTCTCTTCAGAAAAGCTCTCTTTTCTTATATCTGAATATTGTCCATCCCTTTCTGTTTTCCTATACCATAACATTGGAAGAGGTCTTAAAACCTAGGTGAACCAAACTTCACCCCACAATTCAGCACCTACAAATATAATATTCTAGGCAGTTAACTGTCCAGTTTTGGTTAAGATAATTTCAATGAAGCAGAGTTTAGCTTGTCCTGAAACAATCTGTCCCACACACTATGTTATTGGCATGTTACTCCAACATTAGAAGTTGCTACTGCACTGACTAGCTATTGGTTCTAATATTGCTGTTTGCATGATAGCCCTTCAGGTATTTGGACACCACTCTCAAGCCTCTATTTTTTTTTACTTTTCCAGATTAGATATACATAGTTATTTCATAGCACATGATTTCCAGGTTGTTCACAATTCTATTCCTTCCTTCCTTCCTTCCTTCCTTCCTTCCTTCCTTCCTTCCTTCTTTCTCTTTCTTTCTTTCTTTCTTTCTTTCTTTCTTTCTTTCTTTCTCTCTCTCTCTCTTTCTTCACACGATGATACACACAATTATGTAGAGCAGGGGTGCCAAACTCACGTCATCATGGTGGTGTCACGTGATGTATCGGGACTTTTCCCCCCCTTCACTAAAATGGGTATGGGCATGGCCAGCGCTTGACACATCTGGCCCATGGGCCGGGAGTTTGACAGCCCTGATGTAGAGTAACTCAGAACATATTGACAGTACCTGAGAAATATTCATAGTATGAAGGATCTTCCATATATATTTCAGTCTTCTTAGAAGGAATCAAACCAGTTAACCTAAAGCCAACTTCCTGTCTGAAGAATGTTATCATATGATGGACTTCCTTAAATTATCTTGTTCATTTCTGGATTCAGCCAAAGCTCCCTGCTCTTATCTTCAAACCCTTGCTAGAACTCTCCAATCTTTTCTGGTTTTGTAAACTTGATACATCCAAACCCTGCAAACATTTTTCTTTTACTGTAGTTTCACCATCCTATGATTTTCTGCTTCTTCAAACTGTTCTGCTATTTCTGCCTTGGTTCTCTTTATAGTTAGAAAAGAAAGCTGGTGCTTCTTTTTTTTCCCTTCAAAACCAAACATTTTCTTTTAGCACCATCCTGCAAAAATTTTGCTGGAGTTAAATTTGACTTGTAACCAACCCTCCGCAGCTAAAGCAATTCCGTATCATTTCCTTTAGCTAGCATTGTGCATATTGCATTTTCTCTTATATTCTGTACAGTCTCAAATACAGTGATGATACTGAATGAATGTGGAGAAGAAAATGATTACCGCCATCCCTTGAGAGAGAAGTGCTATTAATACTGTCAACAGCTTTTTCCTTTAATATAAAGGCGAGATGGCCATTGTCTGAAAAGCTCTTTTTAAAAAAACAAAACCACGTTTCCTTTCTCTACCTTCATAAAGTTATGCAAGGCAGGGTGTAGAATCTCATTTTATATGCAGTTCTTTAAAAAAAACCAACTGATTTGCCTTTCATCTTCAACAATATGGCTATTTATCTAAATGCTCTGCATATTTCTCCAAAGAAAGCTTAGGCAAATCAATTCGGTTTCACTTTCCCTTACTCTTTTCTTCTTTTATTTGTATGATGTGCTTTGTGCAATGTGTTTTCTAAGGAGGCAGAAGTGACCTTTTCCGATCACATCAACGATGATTATTTCCCTTCCATTAAACAGAATAAACTGTTAACGTAGTTTCTTTAGACCAAAGTAGGTTGCTTAATACTGTAGCTATGAATTAGAAAACACATTGTGCTGTTCCTTGGATAAAGGAGTGAGTTTAGGAAAGAGGATGCATTCTCAAGGAAATGTTAGAAGATCATACAAATATTTTTTATGGAAGGGGGTATATTTTTGGAAAGCATCTTTATGTGCGCTTTAGGAGAGAAGATATTTCAGAACCTATGAGAACCATGTTTTCCTGATGCCTGCTGCAGGTGACATCGGCTTCCCAAAATTTTAGGTCAAGGTATCATCCAGGCTTGTGATTTGAAATTCTTTCAACTGTTCAGGGTTTAGCATGGCAAAACAATCATGAAAACTTTGAGATTTCAGAATCTATTTTTAACCTTTTCTTCTGTGCTGGAGCTTCTTTTCCATTTCTTTGTATTTTAGAGGATCTTCAATCAGAGCGAACACTTCTGCATTCCTCTGAGTAGCCTAGCGCTGCTTTATGATTTAGACATTTTTCAAGATTTTTTTATAGTACTCTGAAGCTCTTTCATTTGCTCCCTTCAATTCTTCATTTCCCCCTCAATACAGTGATTGACCTTGAGTGTGACACTGACAGAAATCTTTTGCCTGGTGGTGATTTTTGCCACCTCAGTTGCTTTATGTCCCATGCTGTTCATTTCTGATAATGATATAGTACAATAGCACTCTCTGACCTCTAACTGACCAGCTTATCAGCAAACTGCTGGGAAACATGGAGTTGGATGGCACTTCTTATGATAGATCACATAAGATAGGCTCTCAGGATCACATAGCTACCCAATCTAAAAAAGCAATTGTATACCTCAGCATACAGCTAGAGTCCAGGAGAATAAGATATTAGCAGGCCAGATACAGAGAGAGAGAGAGAGAGAGAGAGAGAGAGAGAGAGAGAGAGAGAGAGAGAGAGAGAGAGAGAGAGAAATTCAGTTTATGATTCCTTGAACAGATCACAAGGTAGAACGAAAGACCATATTTTGCAAATCTGTTTAATGCAGATTAAGCATAACGGTTCATTAATAGTATGGCTCTGGCAAGTCCTTATTGAAATGAGCTTTAAAGTACCCATATCCTCAATGCCGCTGTGTAATAGCACGTAGAATACACAGGGGATAGCAGAGAAAAAAATAAATTAGCATCTATTCGGGGATGAGAAATAGTGATGGTGTTGTGGGAGAGAAGTCATTTCAAACACTGCAAGAGAGGAAACAGCATTTGTCATACAGGTAGGAAGAGAAATAAACCCCTTTGCGTTATAATGCAATCTTACATAAATCACATTTTCAAACCAAGATATGATCCCAAATAAACTTTAAAGTTTTCACTTTCTCAAATATTGTAAAACCATCTCCCAATTAAGAAATAAATAGAAAATGGGAAATGTCAGTCTTATCAAACTCCCCAACAGGTAACAGACAGATTAACTATGCAGTGATTCATAAATGTCTTGTAAAAGAAAAAAAAGAGGATTTTGTATCAAATTGCTCTTTACTATTTAATTATATAAAGAGAGAGAGGGAGAGAGAGAGAGAGAGAGAGATTTTCTGCAGGAACAATGATTATGAGTATGCTTTAATTGTTGGGCCACATGGAACTCTTCATAAAACGATTAGGGAAGTTTATACACATGGATAAATTTAAATTTGGGGAATTACTGCTGCTTGATATAAAGTGAAAATCTCCATTATTTAGTGCCAGAATTAATGATTTCATATCAATGGCATTGCAATGAAACCTAAAGAAGATGGCAGGATTACTTTGTATCATGGGGAATGAAGGTGCCAATTATTCTGGGGAATTTGCTTAGTAGCACTGTCTTGTGGTTCACTGCCATGTGCCATAAAATAACTTGAGATAGTGTTAGTCTTTAATGTACCTTTTATCATGTATAGAATGCCATATTCCCATAGACTCTTTTTTATTTGAAGCTTTCTTGCAAGGAATTTGCCTGGCGGCTAACTTTTTCATTCCACTCACCCAATATACTTCCATCTTTTTTTCCAGGGATTTATTTCCTTCCTGCCTGCTAGCCTTCCTTCCATAGCTATACATTGCCCTTGGTTTTGCCTTGTGTCCCAAATCCAATCCAATCCAATCTATTCTCTTGTTTGGAAACTACATTAAACATCAACAGAGGTTACCATTCTCATGCCCAATACCAAATGAAATACCAGATGCATCCTAAAAGCAGTTGTTTTCAACAAGACCTTCCTTCCTTCCCCCTTTTTTTCAGATTGCCAAAATCTTTTCAATCAGTATTTACCGCAAAAGCTGGAGGCAATTAAAACTAGAGGGAATATTTTGAAAATGCTGTTCTGTGCTGTGTATTTTCAAAGTTAGATATGGCAGACTCAATTAGCACCACATTAGTAATAAATAAGCGCACTCGGCAAAGAAGGAAAAATATCAATAATCCACTCACAGCCACTCCATAACTCAGCACCATGTTTTCACCTCACATAGGCACCTTAATTAGAAGTTTGCCCATGTGCCTGCTTTACTCATTAGCTGCCTCTTTACTGAAAAGGAATAATGAGCTGAGCTCCCTAATCTGACGTTAACAAATTGCCACCATTTGGGGAGGCATTTCAATGTAAAATGGTGATGTTCATTATCAAAATTATGTTTGAAGAGCAAGTCTCATTTGGGCTCAGTGTTGTGAGATAGTTTCGTTCAGGGAAGGGCTCCAGACCAGGAATGGAGGAACAGAGGAGAAAAAAAACAAAACAAGAGAAACTGGTTGATGCTCAGTATTCCTCAAAATTTATCCCCCTTGCCTTAGGAGGAGGGACTGTGCTAGATCTTCACTGAAGAAACACAAAAACTATGTATCAAACAGTATAAAATAATGGTTAGAGAATCAGTTTAGGACAGGATGAAATTCCATTCATCTAAGAAGCTTGCTGAGTGGTTTTAATTATCCCATTATATTCTACCTTTGGGTGGTGTGGTGGCTTAGCAGTTAAGACTGCTAAGGCTTAGCTGGGCTTATCAACTGGAAAGCCAGCAGCCCAGGTTTGAGACCTGAGCGCCATGCAAGAGGGTGAGCTCCCATCGTCATGCCCAGCTCCTCCCAACCTAGAAGTTCGAAAACATGCAGATTTTGTTGTTGTTAGCTGCGACCCCATGGACAATGTTCCTTCAGGCCTTCCTGTCCATTTAAGCTCACACCTACTGCTTCAGTGACTCCATCCAGCCACTTCATTCTCTGTCGTCCCATTCTTCTTTTGCCCTCAATCATTCCCAGCATTAGGCTCTTCTCTAGTGAGTCCTTCCTTCTCATTAGGTGGCCAAAGTATTTGAGTTTCATCTTCAGGATCTGGCCTTCTAAAGAGCAGTCAGGGTTGATCTCCTCTAGGACTGACTGGTTTGATCGTCTTGCAGTCCAAGGGAGTCACAGGAGTCTTCTCCAGCACCATAGTTCAAAGGCCTCAATTCTTTGATGCTCAGCCTTTCTTATGGTCCAACTTTCATAGCCTGCAGATCAGGGATGGGTTCTACTTACCTTTACTACCAGTTCGCAATGGGGCCGCACACATGCGCAGAAGCATTTTATAACATCGGGGTCGGTGGGCGGAGCCTCCCGCTGGTTTTACTACCGGTTCTATAGAACCGGTGCGAACTGGGGGCAACCCACCAGATGCTGCAGATACAACTAGATAAATAGGTACCACTTTGGTGGGTAGGTAACGGCACTCTATGACATCATGCTGGCCATGTGACCATGGAAATGTCTTTGCACAGTGCTGGCTAAATGGAAATGGAAAGACTCTGCCCTTAGACATCCAGATGGAGCTACTCAAACCTTGACTGGGTTTATGGTGTAATAGAATAGTTGATGCCCTCAGTAAAGTAGCATCTGCTCCACTCCATTATAGGATTGGATAAAATGTGAGCAGTAGCTATGGTAGCTCTTCCTTACTGTCTATGAAATATCAACAGTATGTACCACTCTGAGACCCTTGAAAGGCAGGATTCAAATAAAATGATGAGTACCAGCCTGACTTGTATATCAGATTTCTTGAGTTAAAATATGTAAAGCGCAGACAATATGCTGTGATGACAAAGCCCATAGACTCAGACCAAATCAAAGAGATTTCTCTGAGGTTGATCAGAATCTTTATCCAAATTGTTTTTAATACAGACGTAGCAACCAATGCAAGTGAACTCTGCTTTATAAACTCTGTGAAATCAGAGTGTCTGTTGCATTTTAAAATTACAATAATGTTTACTAATCTGACATTGTGCATACTTGCTCAGGGGTAGTTCTACTATTGTAAGTGGGATTTAATGAAGTATAGGATACAGAGGTGGTTGCCGTAAGGAGAGAGTAACTTGTTTCATACCCTGAAACTACTTTTTGAAAATGATTATTTGCTTTGCTTGCAATTGTACCAATCTCTCTCCCCCCCCCCCCCCCCGCTCCCAATGCACCCATCCTAGGCAGATTATTGCAAATTGGATTTATGTAAAAATATTAATAAAAATTTATGCCATGGTTCAGCGGCTGAAAGAAACTCATATAGATAACATGTACAAAAGAATGTTCAGCTAAGCATTTTCTTCATTAAGAATGAATCACAAATTTCCAGCGTGTGATGTGCTTTTTTTTTATTAACAAATCTTAGATGTCACAGATGATTTTTTTTTATTAACTAAAGTGTTTATGAATAAGTTTAACCGTACCAGTACTGTGCTTCTATGCAAGTCTTTGTTTGTTTGTATGGCCCATTAATCCTGAAGACATTCTTCCCTCTCACCATTTCAAATGTCTCCTGGCATTTAAACAGAGGTAAAGATAAATGGGTGCCATGTGGATACTCCGAGAAAAGGCTTGACAAAACAAACAAATCGTAGCAAGGGTTTAAACTTAAATATCTCACTGATAGAAAGTCAATCGTGAGAAAGAGTAAAAGAAATGCCAAACTATTATTCAAACAGTACATCTTTAGTAATGAAATACTAGTCTACACGCATGCATGTTTGAGTATGCATGTGATACATTTGATATTGAAATATCTTTGAAGTTGACCAAAGTCACATCCCTATCCTTCCAGTTTGGCTGTAAAACGATTGCTGTCTTAATTATGATAATTAAGCCTCCTGCTATATACAGGTAGTCCTTAATTTGCCACCACTCATTTAATGATCATTCAGAGTGATGCTGGCCTCGGAAAGGGTGCTTTATGGCCCATAAAACACTTTTGGTTGTCATAAATGGTTGCACTGCCCTCCCCACAGTCAAATGACCACAATTTCATGTGCTGGGCACCCTGATCACATTTAGGACAGGTTGCAGCAACCTGCAATTATGTGACTGCAGTTTACAGATCTTTTTTTTTTTTTTTTTGCTGATTTCTGACATTTTTTTTTTTTTGCCAGTTTCTGGCAAAATACAAAAAAAATCGACTTACGAAGAGCCCTGGTGGTGCAGTGGTTAGAATGCAGTACTGCAGGCTACGTCTGCTGACTGCTGGCTGACTGCAATTTGGCAGTTCAGTTCTGACCGGTTCAAGGTTGACTCAACCTTCCATCCTTCCGAGATTGGTAAAATGAGGATCCGGATTGTTGGGGGCAAGATGCTGACTCTGTAAACCGCTTAGAGAGGGCTGTAAACCACTATGAAGCGGTATATAAATTCTATTGCTATTCCTACAACAGTTCATTTAGTGACCATTCAAAGTTACAACCACACTGAAAAAAGTGGCCTATGACCATTTTTCATACTTACACCTTTGCAGCATCCCCCATGGCCACATGATCAAAATTCAGACCCTTGGCAACTGACCTATATATATGATGGTTGCAAAGTCCTGGGGTCATGTGATCACCTTTTGCAAGGTGATAAGCAAAGTCAATGGGGAAGTCAGATTCTTCCACCCCCACTATGTTACTAACTTAACAACTGCAATTATTTACTTAACAATTGTGGCAAGAAAGGTCATAAAATGGGGCAAAACTCACTTAACAAATGTTTCACTTAGCAACATGCATTTTGGGCTCAATTCTGGTCGTAACTCAAGGACTACCTGTACTATCCATTTGTGAGAATGGATTCAGACTTATAACCACGATTTACTTAATGACCACTGTAAAAGCATTCATAGCATCTAGTCAGGTCATATTGGAGCCTCGAATTACAACCATCATAACCTAGGTCTGAAATTCCAGGCTCAATTGTGCTTGTAAGTTAAGGACTACCTGTATTAGCCATATCAGTAGAGCTATAATTGATTCTGTCGTTTGAAAAAGAATTCTTATTGAATCACCTCAAACAATGAATTTGCTATGCAACAATATTGCAAACTATGGCCCCTTTATGATCTGTGGACTTCAACTCCCAGAATTCCTGATCCAGCTTGCAAGTTCAAGCTCTCTGCAAGAATCTGAACTACTAATAGTCAAAGCAAATTGGCAGCAGCTAAGGGTCAATGGAATTCAAGGTGAGCTGGGCTTAGATCTCTGTGGGTGTGCAGGGACTTGAGACTGATGACGCATTTTATCTCCTCCCTTGGGCTCCGTCCGGTCATCTCTTACAACCTCCTTGTACCACTGCCACTGGTTGTTGCTATCAGAATGGTGCTTCCACCATATTAATTGAGTCTGCATTTGGGTTGGGAAAGTTCTTCCTCCACCTGAACCTATTGTGTGATGTTAGGGGCCAGGCTGGTTTGACAGTTCTGAGAGTTACAAGTACAGCACCTTGTGGTTGATTAATTGGGACAAGATTGGCTTAAGATACCGCACACTTTTTCAAAACAGCTCCTAAGATTGATTAGCTACTATGTTTGTTATCAGTTTTGACTGCACACCTTGTGGCTGTCTTAGGAATCAACCTAATAAGATGATCGGTTACCATTCTTAGCTGACATTAAGACATTGTTCTTATATTTTAATGTAGTAAAATGCATTTATGTATGATTAAATATTTGTAGCAAAATAAATTAAGCCTGACTAGATAGCTCAGTGGCTAAGATACTGAGCTTGTCAATCAGAAAGGTTGGCAGTTTGGCAGTTCGAATCCTTAGTACAGGTCTCCTGCGTGAGCAGGGGGTTGGAATAGATGACCGCCAAAGTCCCTTCCAACTCTGTTACTGTTAAAGTGCATATTCCCCAGGCTGGTATGTTCTTCCATTACATACAACTTAATTATATCTCACTTTTCTTTTTTTTAATTTGATTTATATGCCGCCCTTCTCCGAAGACTCAGGGCGGCTTACAATGCGTTAAGCAATAGCCTTCATACTTTTGTATATATTTTATACAAAGTCAGCTTATTGCCCCCACAATCTGGATCCTCATTTTACCTACCTTAGAAAGGATGGAAGGCTGAGTCAACCTTGAGCCTGGTGAGATTTGAACTTGCAGTAATTGCAGGCAGCTGATGTTAATAACAGTGCTTTAGTCTGCTGCACTACCAGGGCTCTTAATTGTTTATTAGGTTCATTTTTCTGGTTACCTACTCTTAAAATCCTCTTGCTTTGTATTTCAGTAACATGTAGAAAGAAGAGAGGAGGAGTTCCTGTAAATTATTTCTGCAGAGATTAATTAATTAAGACAAATGAGGCACTCTAAGAAAAGATGAAGCTCCTTTGTGCTGTGCTGTGATAGAACAGGCCCCAGGGACTTAGGGTCCCCAATGTATTTTCAGTGCCTATTTTCAGAGCAGATTGAAACGCATGAGAATGGTGGAGAGAGGGTGTTTTTATTCACCCTCGAAGGCTTACCGCTTGGCTTTTTCTTAATAATCACACTTGGGTTTCCTCAATAATGCCAGCATATAACCAAGATTGACTATCAAGAATCACCATGATATTTATTTACACCAGTATTTATTACACCATCCCAACTGCCTGAGATAATCCATGTGAGTGATGGTAAGAAAAATGGTGCTAAAACAGCCACAGGTCAGTTCAGGAAAGCAAGTAATGAATCATCATGAAAAATAATCCAAATTAAGCAAATTCAAGCATAACGTAAGTTATGATGCTTACACCTAGGCTGGCATGGCACCAGTGGGATAATAATAATAATAATTTTATTTCTATACCACCCTTCTCCCGAAGGACTCAGGGCGGTGTACAGCCTATTTAAAAACACAGACAAAACAATGATATAAAATTTAAAATAATTAAATAAGTGGCTCAAATTTAAAACCCCAATAAATTTAAATACCCCAATTTAAAACTATTGTGTTGATAGTCCGGCCTGGCGGAACAACAGGGTCTTCAATGCGCAGCGAAACACCCGGCGGTCGGAGATCTTACGTATTTCCGGGGGCAGTTCATTCCACAGGGCTGGGGCTCCCACAGAGAAGGCCCTCCCCCTGGGCATCGCCAGCCGACATAACTTGGCTGATGGCACCCTGAGGAGACCCTCTCTGTGGGAACGAACTGGTCGGTGGGAGGCTATTGGTGGCAGAAGACGGTCTCGGAGATACCCGGGTCCTATGCCATGGAGCGCTTTAAAGGTGGTAACCAACACCTTGAATCGCACCCGGAAGACCACCGGGAGCCAGTGCAGCTCGCGCAGGAGGGGTGTCACATGGGCATAACGGGTTGCGCCCATAACCACCCGCGCGGCCGCATTCTGGACCAGTTGGAGCCTCCGAGTGCTCTTCAAGGGGAGCCCCATGTAGAGAGCATTACAATAGTCCAACCGGGAAGTAACAA